ATAAAATTTTAAATTCCGCTGTAAACTCTGTTCCGTACGGTATATCGAACCCAACAGCAAGAAGAGAAGGATGCCATGCTTGAGTCACAGTACACTTGGAGATCACAGAGAGTTAGCATTATAGTACATTGAGGTTACTAGCTTGAGTTACAGATATGATAAGTTATACAGAATACATCGACGATGCAGGTGCAATGTTCGCCAGGTGCTGTATGTAGGCGTGCCACACTCACTTGATGAGGAGCAGGTGTGCCGCTTTACAATGTGCCGCGAACGATGTGTCGCGTTATCGAGTAGATGTTCACGAATGGTAATTACCGTTATTGCTAGTTATCCTAATTTGTACGTGTGTGCGTATCTCTGAAATTTTCTGTGTGTACCAACGACTGAATTTTACACAACCAATGTTCAGACCGAAGATCAGCCATCAACCAGGAGATGATGACCAGTACGCTCAAGAATTATTCTTTTAAGGTCATGTATAATCAGTGGAACACTTTACTTCAAAAAAGTGCCCATGTTCAGCCAATATTAATCAATAATTCACTTAATTATGAATTGATGATTATTTAGTTCAGATCAAGTCTACCGTTCAGTATTAAAATACTAAATTCTCAAGTTATGTCATCAGTAAGTATAAGCTTTATGTTAAGCTTGTACATTCCAGTTTTAGTATTTCCGAGGACGGATATATTAAGGAGGGTGGAATGTAACACCCCATATTTTATTAACAAGGAAAATCCTAGCTTTGAAAAATAAGCTAGCCTTTGTTAATAAATAATCATGTCAATGTTCAAGATTAAGTTATTCAGTCAGTCAAGTTCCAAGTTTGACGTTAAGTCGAATATATATTCGGTTAATTTTATTTATTAACCGAGTTATCGATAATAATTAATCTCAGACCGTTTATTTATGAACGTTTTTCAGTTCAGAATTAATAAGTTAAGTTGACAAATTATTTGAAATATCAATAGTCAGATTAATCGTCCAAGTCAAGAATTCGAATCAATATTCGAAGCTACGTTTATGTTTGGAATATGTTGTATTTAAGTACCAAGCTTAGTCAAATAATTAAGCATGTTAACTTGTGCATAATTAATTATTTAAGCACGTTTATGCTATCATAATGTCGTAAGTAAATTCGTAAATTGCGTAAGTAATTGTGAGGATTGCACATGAATATTATCCTTATACTTAGCATGAGGTGGCTTCCTTATAATTCTCTAAGTAATGACTAAGCTTATTAGAAGGTGAATAAGCATTCTTTAAGTCTTAGCATCTAGCAAATGTCAAGCATTCATTGGCCAAAAGATTTTCTCACCTCTTCATTAATTTCATTCGGCCATATATTTACTAAGTGTTGGGAAAGGACTTCATCCTTCTAATAATCAGCATTTTAAGCCCATAGATAAGAAAGTTATGGAGAGTTTAGTTTAGTAAGTCAAGCAACGTACTTGGAGACGTAGACGAACTCACGCACGCGCACGTAAAGGAAAATCACGGGAAGTCACGTACGGTTGATTGAGAGGTTGAAGAGGTATCATCGTCTTCATCATCTATTCATGATAATCTGATCATGATAGGTTCATTATGTTCAAACATGTCCAGTAATTCATAAGCAAAGCCAAGTTAGGTTCGGTTTAGGCCATGTTAGGCCATGACCGAGTGATATTCGTTTTTATTTCAAAACTCTCAAGCAATTGTCGGTTATTCAGTCAGTACATGCTATTTCATGATCAGTCAAGTTAAGTTTGTCGAGAAAAATCATGGTTTTGTCAAAAGTTGGCCAAAGCCGTCGAGTACCGCACGTAGCGGAAGCCACGGTCTTTTTATTTCTCGAGTTATGTTCATGTCATTCGGCCGTTCTGTTAATAAGAATTCATGTTATAGTTAGTTATGATGATCCATGTGAGAAACGGTCGGAAGAGTTGTCGAATGGCCAAATATATCGGCCGTAGCGTCGGGTCGCAACATTGCGCACGCTACAACCATGTTCCAAGTCATGCCGACGTCTTTCTCTTGCAATTTCATGAAATTATGTGTTTTTGGAGCATGTTGGGTCATTTCATATTGTTTCACGTTGAAACGGTCGAGAGAAGTCACCGAACGGCCGGCAAGGGCCGGTAGTGACAGCGCTGCCCGCACACAGCGGCAGCAACGCGCCGGCAGTCAGCCAGCGCAGGC